CTTTGGACGATCACTCGCCGGGAGTTTTCGCTACTTGAATAAATACCCACAGCCAGGGCAAGGCCATGGCAAGTTGGGTGAGATGATAAGCTATTCTGTTTCTCCAGATCTGCCTGACGAGGCATGACGAGAGCAAGAGCGGAATACTCACTAATATATTGCGAAGTGCTACAAATACGCTTGGTGCCGATACAACACCAATGCGTGTCTTCGGGTTAGATGCTTCCAGTAGTTCATTGGCTAACACTTCAGCTGTTTCTTCGGAGTACTATAGCTCATTGTGGCCCAAGCCAAGAGTTAGCAATGGCCTCATGGCGTATGTATACAACAAACATTACTGATTTTGGCCAGTTTGCTCCCAAGTACGACTTGAGTGGCAATAATGAACTTCCGCCAGAAACGTACCCAAAATTGTGATTCATTCCAGTCTTCCGTGAAGGCCGTCATAGAGAGCTGTGCGTCGTCTTCAGCCTGAGCTTTCAATTCTTCGAATTTGGACTGATGGGCATCTCTTTCGGCGTTAAATTCGGCCAAGGCTGCAAGAGCATGGGCAGAGAGAGTTCTGAGCCAAGTAAATTTTGTTACTTTGGTGACGACAAACATTCGAGTGATAAAATGCTCACATTGGCTCATCGTTATCTTCCATGCTGATTGTAAGTAGGAGTCAATATATTCGCATGTACTCCGACAGTGAAAGATATTAATCTGGATTTATCAGGACCTCGCACCATGAGTGTGGGCAAATAAGAGTGTGGGTGCATGTGGTTTAACTCCACCGTTTTGTGGGGGTGGTACAGAGTACACCAGACGGCACAAGACATCAGCTAATAGAACTCTGTAACACCCTACTACATACTTAGGTAAGTATGTAGCCACTTGGAACTAGTAGTAGGCAGGCACTCCATAGTTGCGCATAACTTGGACCAGTTGACATTGCCAGTGACTTAACGCTCTGGAGTATGAGCCCAATAATTTGAGGGCCTATGAAGAAAAGCGCACAGCAGGACGGCGAGGATGAAAACAAAGGGTATCAAAACATCGCCTTTGGCACCTTGTGTATAACATCTTGCACGCGATTGTGATCCGACATGGTTTCGAAGCTTTCCCAACGCCACAAGAACCACCACAATATTACTGCGGTCTTCATGACTAATGTGTCCTGGCAAGCCTATAATTGCTTTCGATAATCACACAAAGGCCATACAGCAAACGGGGAAGCTCTAACAACGACAAATGAAAAGAAAGAAAGAAAGAAAGAAAACTGTACAACAAGATGCGATACACTGACCCAGCTGGGGCTGTCTTATATACATGTCTTTCCCATGGGTATTGTATTGCTAGAACCTCAAATTTTAACGGAGACTCGAAAGAAGTCTCTGGCATGTTTTCCAAGGTTTCCCGATTGCGGACTTGCAATGTTGAACTACAGCTCATCCAGCACATGAATATACTTCTTGTCCTCTCGTTTCTCCTTTTCTGTTGCGGGGGGCAAGTCGTAGTAGTTCTGGCTTCTGAATCCTTGCTAGAGTGATGTTAGCTATCGAATGCAGAACGTTGCACACGTCATGAAGGACCAACCAGGTAGTGATATGTGAAGTTTGCAATATCTCCAGGTTCAATACCAAGATCCTTAAAAGTCTTGGCCGTGGGGTCGATAACTTGGTCCATAAACTCGCGCTCAACCTCATCTGCCGACATTGTGTGCCACCAAAGTGCTTTGTTCAACACCCCAGCAATTGGCTTGAGGATGCGTTTGGGAACATTGATATGCCGTCTCTGTTTATAGATTTCTTTATCCACCATAGTAGCAATCTGTCTCATGCTATACTCTCTGGGTCCATAAAGTTCGAATGTTTGACCGGTTGTGGAATCATCGTAGAGCATTTTTTCCAATGCGGCGCCAACGTCGATTGACTACGAGAGTATCAGTATCATCATTCAATTAGGTCTGCAAGGGAAGGGGGTGGAACTTACGTGGACTGGCCAAAATTTTTCTTGCATATTGTTGGCGGTGAAAAGGTTAAGAACGGAGGCAAGTTTAAGAAGTAGGTTGTCTTCGAAACCGAACATTGGTGCTGGTCTAACGAGAGTGGCTTCCGGGAAAATACTTCTGGCCACTTGTTCACCTCGAGCCTGAGATAAATAGGGCGTGTGAGGTTAAGCTCAGAAAGACCAGAAAGAAAATGAGGAATGACTGACCTTAGTGGAATAAAATTCGGAGGCAGATTGCAGGTCGGCGCTGTGAGAGGAGACATGAATATATCTATCAACATCGTATTTTGCAACTGCTTCAACGATGCGTTCGGTGCCTTCCACGTGAACGTCATTGAGAGAAAAGTTCCTGAAGCAGGGCTTAGCTATGCGTATGTTATGCGGCTAATGGTTTGCACAAACTTGGTAGGATAGTCTCGGCCAATCAAGTTATAGACAACATCGGAATGTCGGACGCTTGCTTCGATCGACGGTGTGTTCCGTAAATCATATTCCTATTTTAAGATTAATTAGGGCGAGAGGTTCCTTGACTCTGGAAAAGGAAGCGAACTCAACATACGACAAAGACGACGCGACCAAGATCACCTGTAACCTTCAAATGGCGTTTCGTCATTTCTTCGCGGAATGGGACGACAACTGTACAACCCTGGCGAGCTTCACCAAGTTAGATTACATCTCACTACCCAGCAATTGAAGTCATAAACGCCATAAAACTCACCCAATCGATTCACAATATACCGACCCAATTGCCCAGTTGCGCCAAAAACTGTTGCAGTGTGACCTGTACGAGCCGTGAGCATTGCATTCAAGTAGAGTAGCAGGCATATAGATACCTCCTAGGGACGATCTAGAGCAGAAAATAAGTCAGCGGAATGCATTTATTTAGACTAGTGGCAATACTAACCGTCCACCTTCTACTCGGAGAATGGGTTTGCCGGTTCTTGTGACCGAAATATCGGAGGCGAAACGTCGGCAGATTGCATTATGAGTAGCTTGACGGGCTGACCGTGCGGCGTACAAGGGATAGGACATCTTTGCAGTTCTAGGCTAGATGTGAGAGAAGTAGTTACTCTCCTTGTCGACCTTGAACCTGGACACAACAAGCTATGCGGCGCGATTGCTGCTCGGTTGTTGAATCGATACTTGGGCAGAGAACCGCTCACGTGTACGGTCACGGGTACTCTAAATATGGTTAACTCCCTGGCTGGGAGCCTATGCCCCACCCAGCTCTTCCCAGTAGCTCTGCGCATTAGGCTCCTGGTAGCCACGTCCTTGAGACACAGCATCTAGGCACTATTGCGTTCTTCAACCCTCCATCGCAATACCAAGCTTGCATTGCTTGTTCCTGTTGGCGTTACCGGTCGCTAGCATCGCCGCCAGTGCCGCAAAAGCCAAAGCGACAAAAAAAGACGAAACCTGGCACTTAGAACCTTAAACCAGGTTACATCCTCCGTTCTAACATAGTCTAGCAGTCTGCTGCTCGGATAGAAAAGGTGCAATCAATACCTGACACGGTTACCATGGCCGTCGACTCGATACCGGATTTCCTCGCGGAGCAAAGAGACAAGGCACCGGAAGAGCTGCAGCCCCTTATACTTGACTTCGAAACATTCTGGGAGCGCAAGCTATGGCACCAGCTCACAGACTCGCTCGTTCAATTCTTCAATCACCCCAAAAGCGCACCTCAGCGTCTGGCCTTCCATAAGGTGTTCATTCTAAAGTTTGCGGATAAAATTAACCAGCTCAAGCTGGTAGACCTTGCCTTAAAAGCCGCGACGCAGTGTAAAGGTATATACACAATGGAACTTGGCGAACGGATGTTATGGCTAATGGACTTCAAATAGATGACCAAGAACGCCTATCCTTTTTACTATCTGTAGTGAAGAAGGTCGATAACGACACATCACAAGACGCTCTCGTGTTTGCGTCTGTGGCCGTATCCCGCGTGAAGCTCAACCTCAACAGACTGGATGATGCCCGACGAGACTTGGATGCTGCCGAGAAGATATTGGATACCTTCGACTCAGTAGAGACTGTAGTCCACGCAGCATTCTATGATGCCAACGCAAGCTATTACCAGGTATGCTTATGTTCAAGGCGGCAGTATTGCTGCATTAACTAACCATGTCTGGTAGAGAAAAATGGACTTTGCGAATTACTATCGTACATCGCTTCTGTACCTAGCTTGCATCGACTTGGCATCTCTCTCAAGTGAGGAACGTCACAGACGAGCCTACTATATCAGTGTTGCAGCCTTGGTGTCAAGCAGCATCTACAACTTCGGAGAGCTCTTGCTTCATCCGATTCTCGATTCCCTTGCCGAAAGCGAGGACGACTCTTGGCTCCGCGACCTGTTGTTCGCGTTTAACCGGGGCGATCTTATAGCATTTGATGCTCTATCCGACAACGTTGCATCTAACAAGCTACTGAATGAACATTCAACGCATCTACGACAAAAGATTTATCTTGCTGCGCTTACTGAAGCCGTCTTTCGGAGGCCTCCACACGATCGTACCATGACCTTCTCTACAATCTCACACGAGACAAAGGTCAAGCAGAAGGAAATTGAGCACTTGGTCATGAAAGCTTTAAGTCTTGGTCTGTTACGGGGAACAATTGACCAAGTGGACGAAGTTGCACACATCACTTGGGTACAACCAAAGGTGCTTGACATGAAGCAAATAGGCAACATGCGCCAACGTCTGCTCGACTGGGACTCCAACGTTAATCAGCTTGGTAACTGGATCGAGACCGCCGGGAAAGATGTTTGGGCTGCTTAAATCACGACTGATTTTCTGAATGATAAGGCGTCAAGTCGGCTATGTCCTTGAAATGGGTTTTGGACAAGTGGAACTTGTCCTGACATATCCTGGCATAGCCCAGCATGGATTCGTAGTTCTATCCACTACCAGCAATGGTAAGATATAGACATCTCAGACGGTAGAAAAAAATGTATATTAATAAAGGCAATGCTATTTCCTTCGTGGATGTCCCGATGAGCAGATTGCTTATTTCTTCTCCGTGGTGAATATTTCGGCGTCGTCGGAAGTCCCAGAGAGGACATTCGTCATCGCAACTAGCCAGGCCGGCCACCATATACACCAAATCACAACAGGCGTATACACGGCCCATACATTCCACCCAAAACTAGCCTGCTGCAAGAATTCAGCGACAGATGAGCCGGCGAGATGAGTTGCTGGATACACAACCACTGGTGGTGCCACTGCACTGAGCAAGGCAACGACAAAATATTTGGAAATAGTGTTCTTGCATGGTGTTATAAATGTTAATGGGCTGGCGAGCATGCCCACCAAGAATGCCAACGAGAAGTTCAGTGTAGCCAGCGTCGCTAATGCCATTCCAAGGACAAGCAAGGACAGCGATTTAGTCAGCTGAAAGTGCTGCGTCCTTTGTGTGAAGCATACGGGAAGAAGGTACGATATGATGAATGGAAGCACGGCAGAGAAGATGCAAAACATGGCCAATGAGCTCGGTAGAAACTAATTGTTGGGTCTGCGTCAGTGACATCAACTACAAAATCACACGATTTTGTGGCTTGTATGGAAATACAGGGATATTTTGGTGTACATACTGTTGCAGGAACATTGCTTAGGACGAAAAGAGGAATCACGGATGCAGCATGACACCCTGCCACAATCCCCAGGGGAAGAGAAAGATCTCGCTCGGTAGAGTTGATAGCAGGCGGGATTACCGGAGCTTTGCTCAATGTTGATTTTGCTGGAGCTGGTTTTTCAAAGGTTGCTACCACCGGCATTTGGACTTGTGCAGCGGGCTGTCCGCTCTTTACCCACAGAAAAATAGCCATGATCGTGAAGTTAGCGGCAAGGAGCATAGCACTCGGGAGATATGTACCAATGCTAACAAAGCGATCCCTCTGCATTAGCAGGTAAAAGAAGAAGCTTTGGTGAAGATGCTCCAGCAAATTATTTAAGCTCCGGAATGTGCCTTCTATAACACGTCCCATGGCCATCTCATCGTGCCAACCTTCACCATATGGTTGAAGTGTTACGGCATCGACATGATACGGGATAAAACTGCTGTGAGGTCCGGCACAGATGCCTAAGCCTTGTTTCAACATTCCCCGCAGCATCGTCATAAGCCGGTCTCGGTAGGAATCATTATGATGCTGCATGCCTTGTATTGCCGTCTGCATTCCCATTTGGCCCCCACCGATATTGACGATTGAGTTTATAAGATCGAGGTTGGGCAATTGCCCATTGGTGCCATCATAAATGATGTGAATACCGTCGAATCGTTGATCCATGGCGTAGTCAATAGCGATTGCACCCTGCAGTGCACCGGATTTCAGCGGCAATGAAGCAACGTTGTTGGAGTCGTGCGCATCATGGTACGCGTCCACCCAAGCTTGAGTTCCGGTTCGACTGTCCGGAGGTATCAGAATTATGATATCTTTCGACCAAAGTGACCAGCCTGTATCACTTCTTAGCCCGGTAACCAGTCATCGTTTCTGCTTAGATGAGTGAGACCTAGTAACATACGCTTGAAGTAGCGGGCGAGGGTGATGGCAAGAGCAACGCCGTTTCCATTAAATGTTTCATTGACGCTGCTCCAAGCAGCCACCAAAACTATTGCTTCGGTGGCATCCCCCCTGGGAGCTTGCAAAATTCCGTATACATTCTCGCCATTGTACGTTTTGCCTGCGGAATTGTATGTATAGTTCTGTCTACCGACTTTAATACCAGCGGTACTGAGAATGACTTCAAGGTGATTGTTGATGCTTTGATAGTAAGTTCATAGATTCTTGGCCAGTACATTCTCTGCTTGGTTTGGATTCCAACTTACTCGTAGTTGCTCTCATTAACCAATGTATCTAATTCCCGTCTATATGCCCTGAAGATATTGTGTTCGCTGCCGCCAAAATATGTATGTACCTGACCCGGAAGCAAGGCATTCTCTGAGATATAGGTGCGCCGGGAGTAATTGTCGAGCGGCAACAAGACAAGCCAGATAGCTCCAACTAGGATGCAAACCAGGGAGAGATACGGTGGTAGTTTCAGCATGCGTGGATCCCGCCGTAAGGAAAGCGCCGATGCTGAAGACAGATATGTATCCATGTTAGAAGCTAGGGATGGGCTCCCATTTGATCAAATACGTGTGAGGGAATCAAGAATACTTACACAGCAACCTCGACATGCCGGTGGACTGTGCGACAAGACTAGCTTAGGTATAGGTAGCTATTGTTCTTGAAACTGGCAACAAGTCGGCCGTAGGGCCTGTTGCATGTGCTGCAATCACGGTCAGTGGTTACGTCGGTTGGTAAGATCAGACGCGACATCGGCTGGCACCTTGCTAGGTACGTTGGGGAATACAGTAGATACGTAGGTGCATGTGGTTGCATATACCGGGGTTCGCTAAGTGGGCCACTATTCGCGTGCCCTGTGTCATCATCTCCTTTCCAGAAGAAAACAGCCAAGCGACCATCATCAAACAACGTGACCCTTACCTGCCCGGATCGGAATAGCATTGCTCCATGTACTCCAATGTGAGCAACAGTTTTGAATCTCAATTCCGAGACATGGCAAGACGTTGAACGATAGACTATTGCGCGTCTGTATCCTCGTGCTTCACCTTCGACTTGTTTTGCTCTGCAATTGCAGGCAGTATCCCTCAAGGACTATTCCCTCCGCTGCCGACACCGTCGATCCTCAGTACTAGATCATTTCAGGACCGTGGCGATGCCCGCGATACGAGGCTTCAGCACCTTGCGTGCTCGGTCGTACATTTTCCGACTCCCTTTATTTACTCGAGCGATCATAATAGCTATACTTGTATTCTGGATACTTAGTATTCCATCGCTATGGGACCTGCATCAATGGGGCTCATTAATACCAGACAAAGTCACTTTCGCAACAGGTAAATTTCTCCTTGAGAATGTTGGCCATTTGCGCCTGAAGCCGAGCCTAACACTCTGCATAGCGTACCGATTGTCCACTTTTCCACTGATTCACTTGAATGTTATCCATGCGGTCCTTAATGTCGTCGCGCTGACCCCTTTAATGGAACGATTCGAAAACGAATACGGGACGCTCACTAGCTTAGCTTTGTTTTTTGGACGTAAGAATACCCTTTACTCGGCCATTTGGCAAAGCTATGGTGCTATCTGACGCCTCGCAGCTTTAACCACAGTCCCGGCTCTGCTGTATGTTGTCATCGAAGTGGGAATTTTGAGAGCAAACAATGCTGTTATGGGAGCAAGGTGAGAACAACCCTGACAAACAGTGTGTGCAGTGCAAGCAGGAAAAGTCTAACAAGATCCCAAAAGTATATGGGTGTTCTTGCTTCTCGGCATGGAAGCCATTCGAACATACCGTTCCAATCCACACTTGGTAATTGGTACATATCATATCCCAACATGGACGACGCCACTACTCATGATATTCGTTGTGGCCGTCTTGATACCTAATACTAGCCTCTTGGGACACTTGTGTGGCGTGGCCGTAGGCTATATATGTATGACAACTAAGATCCTGCGAGTTGGGGATCATGATTGGCTAACGATGTCTACTTTTTCACAGGCGGTATTGGGTACCTCAAATTTATTGCCCCCCCCGAATGGGCGTTGCGATGGATAGAAACGCGGCTTAATTTACTGGCTGTTCTCCCGCACTATGTAAGCGTTGATCAAAAAACATACGGTCGTTTTGGCGTCTTGCCATCAACGACGCGATCAGGAGCCAGCAATGCAACAGAGTTACTTGGAAGTACACAGCGACTTGGCCCATGACAGCCCGCCGGGCTTGCTCGAGGTATTGAATTATATGGACCCTGATGAGATAATTACTGTACAACATTTGCGTGCGAGAAATGGGCACAAGCCAGCGAGATAAGGGTTATGCATCTAATATGGAGTTACGGACACTGGTTTCTGTGCAAAATAGTCCTTGTATTGGCGCGTCGGATTAAGCAGGCTCTGGCACGTCCTTTAACATCAGCAATATGTTGACTTTAGCGGAGCATGAAGAAGGATCCTCAGCCTCGTTCATCATGTTTCGCAAGAGCTCCACGCAATACTTAAGTTAAAGAAATTAGACATTACGCTCGACGCTGTTCACGGACTGTACATTACTGATAATGCCTGTCCCCGACAACAGCTTCGTGGCTTAGTGGCTTCTTATCAGCATACTTTTGGACTTGTTGGACAGGATATGCTAATAGAAAAATGCTCATGTGTCAATTGTCGACCAAGCTGTTGATCAGGTGCAGTATTGCAGACATGGATTTAGCGTGTGGTATGACTGTCTTCACCACTATGTGGTGCTGCGGCTTGACATACCCGTATTTTATTATACAAGCTTCAGGAAGCTGTACATAGTTCTAAATGTATTTACTCATCTTCATATACTGTTTGTTTAGTCAAATTGTTCTTCCTGATCCATGATTGGCTCCTATGCTTCGTGTAAGACGATATCGAATAGTAGAGCAAGAGCTTGTTAAAAGAATGGTTTCGTGCATGATTCATTTATCAAGCCAAGCCAAGATATCCATGGATACATACTGTCTCCAGCCGACTAAACATTCTTCTATTCGCCGAATCCGGACACCGCTACACACTGTTAGTGCACTTACGAGCAGACACGTCCTGATGACGAAAATAAGAGCAAACTCAGCACATTAGCAAATAAGAATTACAAGGTTATCAGACTTCTCTATTAGTTATATATTCTCTGTCAATTAGTATTAGTTACATCATGGAACATAATTTTAGACCAGCATTAACCATCGTAGTCCAACCTTGATGTTTATGGGTCCAACGCCTTCGCGTTTCAGTGCAACGAAAGAAAGTTGGCGAAATGCATATCATCATGCTAATCACGCATACATACCCTGGCAAATTTGGCTGTTGTCTTTATGAGCTAGCTTGGAGGCCGACCAAAAAAGTAGTTTCGAAACAATTGGTTGAGTGTAAGTCGCGCCATTAGCCAGTCTTGCCGCTTATCTTGCGTGTCATGATTTTGGTAATGGCATGTCGTATCGTTGCGCCCGACTTTTCGATGTCCTTCTTGGAAAGTGCCGATGTGATGCAAATCTTCAAGGCAGGTTGCGCAATCCACGAGCTGTCTCGAGCTTTGATAGCATGCGCGTATGGCCTTGTCTTTAGCCTGGCAACAAGAACTCCGTTGGTTAAGCACTAGACGAATGGGTCAGTGAATGGAACGAGCGAAGGAATTGGTTTTGGGTTCATTAACTGTTCTGCCCAAAAACTTGTTCTGTACAGTATCGCCTGGTCGTGTCTTACCTCGTCAGCACATTCTAGGAAGATCCGTTCTTGATCTTCAATACTCAGCCTTTTGGCCTTGATAACTTCTGGCTTCAGCACGAGTAACATGATTGGGTTTTCCAATGCACTAGTGCAGACAACCCAGTCGCTGCGCGGGTCTAACTGCAACTTCATGACTTTGATATTCTCCCGACATTGGCTGAGGATATCCGGATTAGATTGAAGAAGGTTGACCGTCTCGCTCGCTGTCATAGCTAGCATGGCTGGCAAGGCAGCCGAGTAGGTGTAAGCGGAAGATGTAATGCGCTGGTGTTCGACAACGTCTTTGGCCCCAGCACAGAACCCGCCGCCAGCACACAAAGGTCCAGAGAGAGAGCCAACAATCATATCAACCTGTTGCGGGTCGACATTCTGGGATTCGGTCAGGCCACGGCCCGTTCGCCCGAGGACTCCAAAGGACCAGGTTTCATCAAGGATGATGCGAAATTTATATCTCTCTTTTAGTTCCACAAGACTCGGAAGATCTGTTACATCTCCACAAGTCTCGAAAAGGCCTTCTGTGACAATAAATCGCCGCGTAAGCCTCTTTCCCTTCGCCTGCTCGAGAGCGACCGCTTTCATAACCCGCTCTAAGTCATCCATCTGACCGTGCTTGAACCATTTTATGTTACTTCGGGAAGCCTGTAGCCCTTTTCGAATCGAATAATTCACGGCTTCATCGGCAATTATAACGTCGCCACGTTTGCAAAAGGCGGGGATGACACTCGACACAGTAGAGAACGATTGTGCATAAACAATGCAGCCTTCAGTACCAAGGTAGTTTGCAATATCAGCCTCGGCCTTGACATGAACATCCTGAGTGCCATAGAACTGCGGAGGGCCACAAGGCCCGACACCGTAAGTTCGCAGGGTCTGGATGGCCTTTTCCTTGATTTGTTCATTTGCGTTGAAGTTGTAAAAGTTGTACGATGCTAGATTCGTAACCGTTCGACCGTTTAACAGTTTGACTTTTGGGCCTGTCGGACTGAATAACAAAAAAGTAGTGTCAGCAGACCATCCCGTAGTTCCTTCAAGGTTCATGAATGTCTGTAGCGTTAAGGAGGTGGCTCTGCTAAATGTAACCGCATTCTAATGGGCAAGTCTGACTCGGACGACCAGTAAACAACGGTTCACGACATACCCAACGATTACAGGGAGCTTGTCGCTCTCGGCCTCTTCGAGCACTGTCTGCTCGGCAACAAGTGGCTCCGGGGCCCAATCATCAATCAATTCATCAATCTCCTGGAGGCGATTGCAAAGTCAGTGACGAACCCAGGTGTCACTACCACCCTGGAGGTCTATTCAATCAAGGGCAAAAGCATGCCGAGAAGACGGCCAGAGAAACTTACATCTTCTCTGAGCTTGACAAAATTTTGCTTATGGGTCGAATACGACGGCGACAGCAGATAGCGAATGAAGAATAGAATCAGCACCAGTTCAATGGCGGACCGCACGGGGTCATTCTGGTAGCTTGACCGGATGTACCGAACAAGGACAGCGGAGCCGGGCACTTTTTGGAATGCTGAAGTCGTCTGCTGCAGCACACGGCTGAGCTGGTTGTGCAATGCTTCGATTTCCATGAAGCTAGCTTTTGATAATGTTGCCACGTTATGACGTCCTGTAAGGTGTGAAGACGCGAAGTCGGGTACACACATACAATAATGATTTTAGTACAATCTCTCCGCTCAAGTGGCTAGGCGTGGAAGGAGATGAGCCCCAGGGGAAATCATTAAAGTGGGTTCCAGATTTGAACGAGACGTTCAGTGTCAGGGACGGGGCGGCCTGCACAACTACCTA